TTCCGATCTGTAGCAGTAGCAGTAGCAGTAGCAGTAGCAGTAGCAGTAGGAGTAGGAGTAGTAGTAGTAGTAGTAGTAATTGGTAGGAGGGAGCAGGAGTTGGACTCAGCACGAGCATCACGAGGAGGGTTGAGGGAAGGGGAGCAGCGGAGGGGACTGTGGTACAACCTGAGGAATCACGACACTTCCAAGCCGGAGAATCCGCTATTCCTCTTCTACTCCTTTCACCTGCTCCACACGCCTCTGCAGGCTTTGGCAAGCCCAATATCTGTCTCTCTTCTTCTCTTGCTCGCTCTTTTGGGTGTTTTAATCTGCAGGTGCCCAAAGCCTGGCTCGAGAAGCTGGATGCCTTAGTTTCCGCGGCAGGGGGCAAGCCGATTGACAGTGAGAACAGGCTCGGCTTGACTCCGAACAGCTCCTAGCTTTGTGTGTGGGATCGTTTCTGGAACCCGTGACCGACGCATTTGGCACCCAATCTGCAGGCGCCTGTATGCCGCCATGACCCTGTACATGGATGCCGCCATCGGCGAGGCTGTCGATGCACTGAAGCAGAAGAAGATGTACGCATTCTGGCAGCATCCCACCAGCTGTTACCCAAGCAGCATCCATCTTGAGAATTATAGTGCTTTGCCGACTGACAGCTCCTTTGAGTGTCTGTTCCCACTGACCTAGCCCCTTCTTCCACAGGTCACTTACTCCTGTGACTAAGACTTTGTTGGTTGCAGCTGTGTGTCAAAGCCCAGACGGGAAACAGGAAATGCGTTAATTTAGGATTTCAGCTCAAGGACAACACGCTGATCATTTTCACCTCGGACAATGGTGGCCCCATCTACGAGCCCGGCGCTGCTTCCAATCATCCTTTGCTAGGCTGAGGGAGCAGTCGGACACGAAACGCCATGGTCTTGCTTCCGTTCGCATGCCCTGACAGGTGGCAAGTACACCGATTGGGAGGGTGGTGTGCGCACAAATGCTTGGGTTTCGGGTGGATTTGTGCCTGCGAAAAGGCAGGGAAAGCCTTGAGCGTCCCGCAGCTTGTTTGGAATGAGCGTCCGAGAAGCACCTGTGCTTTACTGACAGGCGCGGGGCAAAATACAACGGCATCATCAATGTAGCTGACTGGTATCTCGGGTTGAGAATATCTATACACATGTAATACAGGACAATGCTTGTACTTGTCACTTGAAGACCTTGGCATGCCAGTTGAGGTATGGTACACTTACGCAGTTGGCGGGCGTTGACATGACGGATCACAAATCCGATAAGGCCAATCAGTTCCTAAAGGAGAGTCCCGGCCAACATGCCTTCTCTTTGTGGTGCTGCAGCCACTGTCCAGCCTGTCCAGCAACATGGCATCGCACATTGTCATGGTCTCAGGAAGGGATTGCCGCTGCTTCATCCAGTGGAGAGTATGCCGCAATGGCGACCTGGACTTGTACGCTTGAGCAGGTTCTGTGAAGGTCCTTGTGCACCGAGTGTGCCCAGCGTGATTGCGCAGTATCTTGCCTTCTTTCTTGCTCAGGGGCAACATTGTCGATGACAAGCCTGGTCGCACAGGGCCTATGCATCTCAGCTCTCAGGCTGTGCTGCGGTGGCCTTTCAAACTGGTGACAGGCTCGGCCCCGCATGGCCCCGCCCGACTCTGACGGACTCTCCCTGTCCCGTGAAGGCAAGCAGGTGATGAGCACCTGGCAGGGGCCGCTTTATCCGAACTGCTCGACGGTGCACTCGCTCAAGCGCCTAGACTCAGCATAACAAGAGTGTGAAAACGCCGCATGGTGTGCTTTTTGTGTTCTGCAGTTCAAGGAACCGCAACGGGCCTCTGCCGCCACAGCAAGATGTGAAGGTCCAGAGTTTGCTAGAAGAGCACACATTCTGCAGCAGCGCTTGCTTGTCCTTAACTTGGCACGAAGCCTGGACCAGGTTTTTGGGGAGCCCATGCCGGTTGCCGAATCGCAGGCGGATGCACTCCTGAACATGCCTCATCAGTGTGTCGCCGTCAAGCACAGGCCGAAATCGACAGACAGACCTGGACGATCGACTGCGGGGCAGGCTGCCTAGTGATGCTTGGCATGAAACCCACATAGAGTCTCCCGCAGCGGAAGTCAGCAACCGTGCACATGCCGCTAGGAATGTCGAGGACGATCCGACTGAGCACATCAACCTTGCGCACGATCCCAAGTACGCCGCAACTCTCAAGTCTTTGCAAGAGACGCTGGAAGCCTTGAACAAGGAAGCCTTGCGTCGTTTCAGCGTTGCAGCGTTGGGGAGGCAGCTTGAGACTTCGTGCAGCAGAGGACCTCTTCAATCCCGATCGCGGCCTCGATCGCATCGAGGCGCCGCAGCGACGTCTCTCTGCGTACCTCAGAGAGCGGAGAGTGGCTTCTGCCAGGCCTGCGAGGTGGCCATTGAGCAGAGCCGGACCTTTGGACCCTTCGTCGAATCTCAGGACATTTCGGGGGTGGGCCGTTTCTCCGTTTTTGAGCGGGATGCTGAAGGCTTCCAAGACAGGATGGATGACACTTCCACGGCAGTCTACCTAATTCCAACGAGAGGCAAGAGCTCTGCTTGCACATCGACGATCGACGCAGTAAGTACAAGATCCTGCGAGTTTCGGCATTCCGAGGATTTAAGGGCATGAGTGTGCCGGAAGGAGTTCTACAGCCCTGCGCCACCTAAAACTTTGTTGGAGCAGGCTATGCTGGACTCATGTCAGACGATCAATTTTGATCTCTGAACACCTCCAGGTAGAAGATGCCGCCCTTACAGCAGCGCTCCGGAAAGTCAACAGCCCCATGGGGAAGACCCTTGCCGTTTCGGCACCTTGGCTGCAGCTTGCAGGGAAGTGTCGCACATGTCCCCATTTGAGATTCGTGCTGAACTTGTCGAAAGACCTCATCGCTTGCCCGCAGCTAGGCCATACAGACGATCGCACCAAGAGTGATTGCAAATTCGAACTTCGACCAGTCCGCCCCTCAGACGGGCACAGGCAGTCGGAAATTCGAAACAAGTTTAAGTCCGCAAGTCCCGGGTGAGGTGCCGAGCTAGAGAGACTGAGCAGACCGAGCAGGGCTTCCTCTCTGACATCTTCACCGTGTGAAAGCAGCGATCAGTGTAATAATTGTTGCTGCATGTATTCCAATGCCCCAGAATTTCAAACCGCTGCCATGATCTGCGTGGCCTTTCGCTTGCAGTGGCCGAGAGCTTTAGCCAGATCGCTTCCCACTGTCGAGCGCTTAAGCACTTTCAAGCTTTTGATCGGCGGCGGCCCTTCGGCTGACTCCGCAACATTCGTACAAAGATATGATTATCGTATTTGTCGAACAGCCCGGGCTTACAATATCCCGGCTGAAGGAGGCAGAAAAAATGGCGAAGTGCGGCTGGCGATCCAATGCGAGGTTTGGATACCTGAGTGTGCTCATAAGGTTCGAGAGCAGCAGAAGAAGTGGGAGGAGCTCAAGCTTCAGCAGCCTTCCCGTCTGAATTTGTGAGGGACTGTGTGATCATTGCTCCCTGCGGAATGCATCGCTGAATGGTAGCTAGCTTGTCAGGCAAAAGAAGCAGGAGGAGCTGGAAGCCAGCGCTCGGGCTGCCATTTCCGAGCTTCAGCTTGCCTGGCTTTGGCTTGCACAGCAGAAGCAGCTAGGTCCGCTAGGTCTGTGCATCTTGTCTGGCTGATGGCAGGAACATGGTTTCAACAGCGGAGGCCAGTGAAAGCCAAAACACAATTGACGAGATCAGTAGCAACACTTTTCAAATGTGTTCCTGTCCTCGCAAACGTCACCACTTCCAAATAGAAGCATAAAGCAGGCTGGTGGCCACAGACCAGTTGCGAATAGATTGGTTCAGTTTGAGGCCTTCAGGTTGCTCTTTCGAGAGTTCGTGGGCTTGACGGCGCAGTTCTGGTTTCGATTGCAATCAGACCAGAGTTTCCTGTCTCGCCTCTGCATGTATCAATGGCGCTTCTCTCATGCCCACTGTCGGTGGAGCTCTTCTAACAAGATCTGTCCAGCTTGTACGTCCGGAACTACTTCCCACTTCCCACTTGTAGATGTCATTGCCTGCTTGCTGGGTTCATGGCATACGACTGACAGAATAATGCTGGAAAACAAGGGCTACTTTGAGAGTGGAGATGCTGATCAACAGTTCTGCCTAGGGGGGGGGCAGTGCCGTGCATAGTCGGGCAGTTGTCAGCATGTCATTCTGCAGGCTTCAGCGGAAGGAGCGCACTACACTGCTGCCCCTTTCGTCTGGAACCTGGTTGGGTCTTTGGGTTTCAGCTGACGGTGACGCAACGCAAGTCATGTTTTGATAGCTGAAGGCTGGCGACCACGAGATGGAGGTGCTGGAGGTTTCGGTTTCTTTGCTGTTTGCCAGTGTCTGCACTGTCTGCAGCACTCAATTGACATCTGCTAGAGGTCCTGAAGCTGTGCAAGAAGGTGGAGCGAACAGGCCTTCTGCTCAGAGTCACTCTACACAACTTCGGTCTCAGCATCTCCGAACTAAGGCAAGTCGGCCATGGCCGCGTGCCAGGCGTGCGTGGACACCTTGGGCAGCAAGAAAGCCTCCATCGAGGAGGAGCATCCTTGCCCGTGGGACTTCGAAGAGGAAGTTCGTGGCTTCCGGTCAGGCCGAGAACATCCGAGTTGAGACTTCGGCAGCCATCTCGGCCGTGACGCGCTTGGTAAATCAGATGGTGGAGTGATGTTATTGTTAAAAGCTCACGTATCGCAAAGCCAGCACTGGCGACGCTTGACTTCGGGTCTGTTTCAAGTATGAAGGCAGAGACTCGTGTTGACGAACTCGTTGTATCGCTGGAAGTTGGAGGGTTGGTTGGAAGGGAGGTTGGGGTGGCATCCCCACTACGTCCCTCAAGAGCGATGTTAGAGCGAGAGAGGATATTCGCAAACAGTTCAAACTCGGCTTCGCCTGCCCCTCTGTTCGCAGCCGCGTCTCTGCAAACACCGGGTTCGTTGCAGTTGCACGTGCTTGGGCGATTCGACAAAGCGAGCTCTGAGTCGCCTTGGTGTATTGCACACGTGCTTTTTTCTCGCAGATTGTTGACATTTGTGACCTTTCTGGAGGTGCTAACGGCCAGGAATTCAACAAGTAACAAGAGACTTTTTTTTAGAGAATTGGTAGTAGCTGGCCGGGCTGCGGTGGAAATTTTGTTGAAATGGTACCGTGACTAGTCAGTCGACCAGCCGGGAGGTGCTGAGCAGGTCAATCAATCGTTGCACCGGCTCCGGGCATAAAGTCGCTGAACTCTGGGACGAAAGCCCGTTTTCTGAGTCGTGTTTGCATAGCTTGGTGTAGGCCTCGGCCTGTGCTGGGTGCATCCTCAGACTTAATGGAGCACTCAGAAGCTGCTGTGCTAAGTTGCAGCCGCGGATCCAGGCCGTCCGACTCTGAATCGGCTCGGAGGGTCAGAGGGACTTGCGTTCCTTTCTGGGACTCGGCAGTTCGTGTATCCAAGGCCACAAGGCTCGTCACCGATGCCTTGAACAGAGCAAAGGAGAACAGAGACAGGATTGTCGCTGCCCTGGCGAGAGAGCCCGTCATGCGAGAGTGCGCAGAGCCCGCCGGCTGGTCCCCTGGGGCCCAGGCGAAGCGCATCGCGACGGCCAAGCGCACCGAGAAGAAGACAGCCCTCTTCAGCAAGTACGACCAGGCCAAAATATACGGCTGCTTGATCTTTGCAGCACTGTCCGCACGCAACGCGCCTTCGCAACGCTTCCTGCAATTGCAGCACATGAGCCGGGACTGCTTTCCACCGTTGGTGTCTGGCTCGAGCGATAGTCGCGGAGTCTACTGTGCCGGGTTCGCTTCGCAAACGTGCGGGGCTCAACCGGCATGTCTGAGAGGGCAAGCAAGCAGACGATGTGATGCAAGCCACCTAAGCGATGAGCAAGTGTGATTTGCAGTTGTATAACACCGATCCCAGTCCGCCTGTGCTGCACTCCGCTGCACTTCATCCTCCCATGTGTGTCAGGCACCATGCCTCCTCAAAGACTTCCACGTGGCATTCTGCAGCCAAGCTGCAGGGTCGAGAAACCACTCAACATGTCGGCCTGTGCACATGCCAGGACACACTGTTGCTCTCTGAGTGCCTGAGCAGCAGCCTGCAAGGCCTGATGGCATTGATGTTCCAGAAGGGACGGCCGACGCCTCACAATGGCAAAGAGAAAGTTCGCGAAACGTTGATGTCCATGTGTGCACGAGGACATCATGCAGTTTTGCCGGGACTTGGCCGAGAGCGTCTTGCCTGAGGGTTTGATCCAAGAACGCAACAACTTGTGTGGCCGGCTGCTCCCCCTTGGGGTCCCTAGTTCTCTGTCGTGCACAGGTGGAGCTGAGTTTGCAGAGCAGTTTGATCGAAGCCACCCGAAGTTCCACAACGGCAATCCCACAGTGCACTCCCCGGAGTGCAAGCAGCCGCTTCCGCTTCCTTTCTGGAGTGGACCTGAGCTGAGGCCGTGCCGCTTGGTGGTGCCCGGATTCCAGACTCCTTGGCTGCCTCCATGGCACAGGCACCGCTCTTTGTCGGGAAATGTTGCAACCCCTGCTGCCGCAGGCTTCTAGCTTTCGCATTCAGTAAAGCCAGCTGTGCCGCAGGCAGAATCGAAGAACTGGCGTGACATGCCAGATGCCCCCTTGAGCTTGGAGGTGTGCCCAGCTGTGCCAGCAGAGCCCGAGAGCTGCATAAGCTGCCGCATAAGCTGCCGCACGAGCTGCCGCATACGCTGCAGGATGATTATGGTCCGGAGCACAAGATGCTCATGGACGCACATAAGACCCTCAACGAGTGCAAGAAGGAGCGCCGAAATGGGCACTGTTAGCCTTGGCTACCTCCGTAGCATGTGCAGAGCTGTTCGGGGCTGCAGGCGATTGCAGTCGTCAACAAGCCAGTGGCAGCTGGGCAGGGATGGCAGAGAAGCGATTTTGCAGTTGCGCTTGATGCGCTTGCCCGCTCAGCGTCGCACAGCCAAGGAGGTTGCCATGAGATTGCGGTGTCAGTACAGAGATGCCGAGGCTTGGAGCTCGAGACATGGTATGACAGATCCGAGACTCCCGCTGTGCACCCGCCTTTCTCGTCCATGTCAGGGTGACGACAAGGTGGCCTACGAGAGCAGGCTGAAAGGCGCTCATGTGGACATGTGAACCGTCTGGGCTCTACAGCCTTCAGGGCCATGATTGTCGCTCCAGGTGCAGAGAACGACAGAGACGGGGCTCTGGATGCTGCTACAGTGACTCGTCACTATGAGCATGATGAGTCTCCTGTCGACGTCATGCGCTTGGTCGCCACGCGCTGCCGCGTTTTCTCAAACCAAGGTCACCATTCTTGGCATGAGCTCAGATGTCATTTCTGATCGCTGCCGACAGTGCGTCGAGGATGTGGTTGCCAAGGCCAGGGTTGTTCGGAAGTTGGCTTTGGGAGCGGGTCCGTGCACTTCCACAGAATCAAAGAGTTCCCTGCAGGGCAAGTTTGAGTTTGTCGACAAAGAGACGTATGGTGAATACATTCAGGCCAGGTGCCATGCTCCGTAAAGTTCGCAGTCTGCAAGGGCCTCGTCTCCCATTGTCCGAGGTGCTCAAAAGAGCAAATCAGGAGATTTTCATGGATCAAAAGAGACTTCTGCAAAGGATCAAGGCCCTTGCGCCCTCCTTTACCAGAGCTGAGCTGTGTCTGTCTCGTCTGAAACAGGATGTAAAGAAAGCCTTCAAGGAGCAGAGCAATGCTCGAGCAGAGATCCAGGAGGTGGGCACTTGCAAAGCCACAACGATGCCCGAGACCACTCTTTTCTTCGTCTCCACAGGAGCCCGGCAATGCCCAGGAAGGGGCAGAGGGCGGCGCCTAGAGCGCACGGCATCGTGAGCGAACCGTGCCGACAAGGATCAGCACACAAGTCCGCTCACATAATGTGGTCGCCGTGATGCTTCTCTAGGCCTACGACTCTGGACAAAGTTGCTTGGGAGTCCTACAGCGGCCCATCATAGTTTTCCGTCCGTAGGGTTAGGATCGAGCATGAAGCAAGCGCGCATGCTGCTTGCCTCCACGATGTTTCACAGGTATTCAGTGCAGCCATCAAGATGGCATGAATTCAGTCTGCGCAGCCTAGGGATTTTGTAAACTATCAGAACATCAGAAACCAGTTCTACGGCCGTGCAAGGTTGCGCAGGGACGAGGTATGGCCGAGTCCGCAAGAAGCGTGACATCTGAGCAGGGGCTTGAAAACGAATAAAATCTTCTCCCGATCTGCTCGGCATCTGTTGCGGGAGAGAGTATTCCTTCTTGCCAGGATGCGGATGGCCGGTGGAATCGAGCAGAAATCTCGGTCGGGTCCCCAGGAAAGAATGACCGAGCGGCCTGAAGGACACAGCCTGATCTGCGGCCTCGAGCTTCTAAGGCTTATGCGAAGGGCGAGTTCAACTTCGACCTTCCAGCAGAAAATCTTGTGCCGAGCTCGGGCTGTCTTGCAGAATCACATCGTTGAGTTCGCGCGAGTGCAGAAGGTCTGTACAGAGAGTGAGAGGGAGACAGAAATGGCAGTGGAAGTTTAGTCGCCCCCCGCAGGACCGCATTATGCGGCAGATCTGCGGACAGTCAGAAGAAGGCCCGGAAATTCCGAAAGCCGGCACTGGGTACTTTGCTTCCTGGAGAGACGACAGGACTGTCACAGTCAGTCCTCTTGAGGCCTTGCAATCGAATCAATGCAGCTGGTCAAAGTTGCTGTCGGTATTGCAAGGGAAGAGGTGCTTCGTCTTCGACAGTGTGATGCACTTCGGAAGCTGTCCGGTGCCGTTCTGTTCCAGGAAAAAAGCAAGGCGAAGCGTGAGCTTCGCCTGGAGCGTGAGCGGAAAGAGTGCGGAACCTGGACCTGCCGCCAAACCACTCACAGCGCACCCGAACTCCCAGGCGTGAGGAGCGAGAGCAGAAGGAGGCGGAAATCCGCGCGCGCCATGCGGCGCATTCTTCGGCTTGCCAGGCCTTCAATCCGACTGTAGTGGCCCCATGCTGTGACTCATTCCACGCCTTGTCGCTGGTGCCAGGCCCTCATGGCTGAGCTCCAGGAGCTCGAGCCCACCATCGCATCAGCGGAGTCCATGTCCGAGGTGCTTGGGTCTTCAACCGGAATACGAACGAAGAGTGGAGAGCAGTGCAGAGTGAATACTCCAGCGAAACGACCAGGCCATGGTGGAGGAGGCGAATGCTGGAAAAATCCGCGAGGCTCACGACTTCGAGCGGAAAGGAATTTTGGTTCTGCCGCCCTCCTACCTGAGACAGCAAAGGCTCAGGAAGCCAAGCAGAGGCTTCAGGTCATCGAGACCGCAGTACAAGCCACGTGCAGAGCTCAAAACTACTTTGTGCTAAGTCAAGTGTGTTGTCTTTGTGCGTGTGTGTGTGTGTGTGTGAAAATCCCCTGTCTTTCGGACTTTGATTAGGGAAGCCGTGTTGACCTTCACTTTCTAGGGTCTTTGTTTGCAGTGCCTCGCATAGGACCACGAATGCACTTGCTTGTATAGCAGCCATGTGAAACAAATCTGACTGCAGACGTCTTGAGTCCAAGCAGTAAAAGTGGCTAGCCCGTTTGCACTGTCGACTCCGTGAGCTGGCATCCGTCTCAAATTGGTAGCGGAGCCAGCGGATCGCAGTGCTGTTTCACTCGAGTCCCAGGAAGTAACTTGTTGTAGAGTAGAGGATGTAGAGGCCCTTTTCCAGGGTAGTTTGGATTGAGCCCCTGAGCGTCAATGGATTGAAATACCAGGGTGCCCCATGGGGTCACAATGCAGCCCCCGCAGAAACAAATTCCAGATCGTATATCTATATGGACACCGCCTCAGCCTATCACGACCCGCTAGCCCGTCCAGTGCCAGGCGGGCGAGGCCTGCGTCTGCTGAGGAAGACGAGGACGCAGAATCAGCACCAAGCCATCCCAGCCAGATAGATGGCGATGGCGACGACGACATCGATGATGAATGCCGGGCGCATACTGAGCCCGTGGTGCCAACCCTAGCTGACGTGGACGAAACTGACATGGGCATGTCAGAATGCGTCTCGAAAGTAATGGCGTGGTGATGCCTTGAGTATTGCTAGAGTCTAGAGGTGTATCGGCTTGCCGCGATTGTTGTTGCCAGATGGCGTAGACTATCTGATTGAGCGCCTCTCCAGTCGGAGGATCGAGGCTTCTGAGCTTTTCAAACAGAGGTAGTTGATCACTGGGTCCCTACCGAAACAGCAGGGAGAGCCGATGATTTCGTATATCGCATGCCGACAGTGCTGGTGGTCCACGCTACGTGCGCTGGATCCCGACACTCGGTCGGAGGCCATTCGAGCTAACCTGCTCGTGTGGAACTGTCAGGATTAAGCCGACAGGAGCAACTCGTGATTAAGACAGCAGCCCGCGCCCACACAGTGGAAGAATACGCCAGAGCTCTTGTTCAGCATCACTCTGTGGCGCACATGAAAGAGAGACTTCTCACCGAGAAGTCGCATTCCCATGGACCAGGGTATAAGCCTTGGGTACCACGACAACAGCACACAGCTCCAAAGTATGGTTACATTGGCTATGGCTACGGTGAAGAAGACGCCGAAGAAGCAGACCAGGGTATACCGCCTGAGGATGAGCATGACGCGTACGCGGGTGTGATGCCATCAGGATCGGCCGACGACGCAGAGACACGGCTTGACGACGAGGACGTCGCGATACAACTCAACGCCTATGCGGCGATCGCCTCGGAGCTCGAGGACACCCTCGGCGAAGAGTAGGCTGAGGCCGTGCAGCTCGCGTATGCAGCTACGAATACCCATAGCCAAGCCAACGGCAAGCGCAAGGGAAAAGGAAACGACAAAGGAAAGCTGGGAGGCAAGGTTATTAGGTCTAACCTGACGATTGCTGATAGGACTTGAGACAGCGAACTCTCAGTCCTCCATAGAGGGAATGATCTCCAGGGCTGATGATGAGTCTCATCGCATAGCGATGCTGTGTGCTGAGTCTAACTGGTATCTGGGACGGGGAGCGATGCCATCGGCAAGGAATTGCCAGCTACATAGTAGAAAGGCATGGTCGAGGGGTGAAGCATATCCGAATGGATTCGACCTTAGAAGATCACCCCGCTGATTCAGAGACTTCATATGTGAAGGCATGCTATGCGTGTTATCAGAAGCTCTTAGGTCGATTCAGTTTTGGACGTATTGAACAGGATCAATTCCGATTCTGTGGCAGCATATGTCCAACACACTCACGGCACCATCGTGACTAACTGCCGTGACTACACGAGGGCTAGAGGGCCTGTCGAAATCCACAAAAGTGAGAAGAGCACGACCCGTGTGTCGAGTAATCAGCGTACAGCTTTGCGCTCAGTCATAGGCTCATTGGCATGGGTAGCACGAGCTACACGACCCGACTTGGCCTGTAGCGAGTGACAACCCCCACCGTGGAAACACTTCACGAGGCGAATCGTGTTGTGGCTTTGGTTCTCAAGCTGAAAGGAGCATTGTGTACAAGGCCCGACTGCCATGGGGCACAGTCACGTTTTGTGGCGCCTCCTTTGCGGGAGAAGCTGGGCATAAATCCCAGCGTGCCCGTATCCACTACCTGACATCGCATAGGGATGCAGTTAACGGAAATGCCAATACGCGTGACATGCATCTGCTACCAGCTATCATTTAGTTCATCGACGATGAAGCGCGCACGGTGACAGACTTCGCGCCAGCATACTCGAGGTTCTAGGAAAGTTTCCCGTACGCGGACAGTGGGAGGAGATTTCAAGACGGAGCATGTTGCAGTTGCACGTCCAATACAGCGACTGTAGGAGTCTCATTGATCACTTCGTTTGCAAGTGCAGGATAACCGGCTGAGCATAGAACTCGCCGGGTTACGAGAGAGGCTTTGGGAGGACGATATCCCCAGTCACGCAGCAATCGCACTCTACGGGGACATTCTCAGGTGGATAACCACGTGTTTGCAGCTGGCTGACTGCTTCACAATTCACAAAGTCAATGAAGCCGCATCTTCTAAACGGTCTATTCAGACCGACATAGTCATAGTCACAGTCATAGAGCGTGCGGCAGAGGCATCGACCTCTGAACAGCCTGCCTCGGCCACAACAGCTGCCGAACCCCGACATAGCTCGGAAGGACACGCAGCATCAAGTGAGGCAATCGCCCAAATTCGTCAATGCACGGAAATCACTAGGCACTCGCGCCGTCACGAAGGCCCAGCGCAGCTGACATGATTTTTGTTTCACGTTGGGTCACACGGAAATAAGACGGGTATGAAAATCCCCTGTCGATCTTTTGGACTTTGATTAGGGAAGCTGTGTCGACCTTCACTTTCTAGGATCTTTGTTTGCCGTGCTTTGTATAGGACCACTAATGCACTTGCTTGTAGAGCAGCCATGTGAAACGAATCTGGCTGCAGACGTCTTGAGTCCAAGCAGTAAAAGTCGCTAGCCTGTTTGCACTATCGACCGACTCCGCTAGCTGGCATCCGTCTCACTCTGTGTGTGTGTGTCTGTGCGTTTCCACTTGGCTCGCGGCAAGGCACAGCGCAATCGCCGCAGTGCAGGTGAAAGCCCAGGAGCTCAGCACAAAGGTATCCGAGGCACGGACGCAGTGCAGTGAGAGGCTGGCTTGTGACGGGCCCTTGTGACCAAGTGCAGGATGCCGAGATGGTGGAGCACATGGCCCCGGAGCTGGCAGTGACACCGGCTGTTGTTTAATAGGGCCCTTCGTGTCGCCTCTGAGAGATACATTCGGCCCGTGTGGTTTGGAGCACATCCTTTTGCCATGCCGGGCAAAGTTCAGGAGTTCCCGGTTATTTCAAGAACCGCTGTCAGTACCTCCGAATCGAATCTCTGACTTCGAAGCTGTCGTCAGCAGAAGGTGAATCCAAGCTTGCATCGAATCGTGCAAGCCCGAATTCTCCCCCAGCCCCAGGGCCCCGAAGCCGACGCCAGGCCTTGGCAGCGAAGACCGAGAGCCAGGATCTGGCACTTCGAAAGGCGCGAAGCTGAAGCGATGCGAAGCGATTTTTGGGCGACGGGAGTTCTCGAATCTCGCGTGAATGAGACATCCTGCGAATTTCTCTGCAGGCCTTGGCTTCTGCTGGCCAGGCCCGTCAGCTGGCACTGCACCGCGCTTTCGCATTGCCACGAGCTCGGAATCCAGCCCTCAAGAAAAAGGTGGAAGTTCCAAAACTTCCTGAGAATCCAGGTACGAGGGCCTCCGAATGGAGGTGGCTGCGAAACTGCGAGCCGGCAGCTCTGAGTTTCCAACGGTCCCGGTACTCCAGCTCCTGTTCTGTTCACGGCCGAGGTCTGCATCGAGACGCAGGGTGGGAAGGCAGGCCGCATGCAAATCCAGGTAATCAAGTCGCACGGGAGTGGAACCTACGGAGGGTGCCTGACTTGTCATGAACTCAAAAAGTTCACAGAAGCTCTCGCCAGCCCGACGACCTCTACGACGCAGTGAAATCGGCTGGTGGTGGTGCAGTTACCAAAAGCGCCATCAAGGCCTATCTTGAGGCCAATCAGCGCCTTCCTTGGACAACATATACTTTCTTTTTTTTTTGGGGGGGGGGGAAGGGGCAGGGATCGACTAGCAGCGCAAAAAAAAGAAAGGTCCGTCCTGGAGGAGGCGCACCTGGAGACCATGTTCCCCACCCCCTCTGAGCCCAAGGGGCAGAAGGAGGCCTGGCGTTGTAAAATATTAGCGGGGAGAGAGAGCATATGGGGACGCCTCTCTCTTGGCTCAGGCAGAGGGCGGCCAAGAAGAGTCTCAGCAGCCTGAGATCAGCTCCTCGGAGCATTCCGGGAAAATGCGGGCTTGATGCTCTCGGGATCTCTCGGGTGCCCCTGGCTCAGGCAAGGAGGATTTCATGCACGTGATTCGGATCTTCTACAAGGCACCTTTAGATGGCCGCCGCAATACGACGAAGGCCGCTGAAACTTGGAAGATCTTCACGGCCTCAGGTGGTGAAGGAGATCGTGCTCTCTGACAACCTGCTGATTGAGCAGAGCGAGCAGCTGAGACGGATGGACGTCGGCGAAGTCATGGAGGTTTTCCAAGGCTCGAAACAAGCAAGAGGGGCGCCGGGCATATGTTTTTCTTGATTTGCGTAGCACAACTTCTTGAAGAGGCGTGTCGCCGTGTGTCATTCCAACGCTGCCTTTCAGGTCCGATGCTGGATCCATCTGTGGGGGTCTACCGGATTCATGGCAAAGCTCTCCGCGACGGCATCACTGGCTGGGTGACGGTGGCCGGCAACCAGGGGACCTCTGCCGACCGAAAACTTCCTGTGTAAAGCAAAGTCTTGGACCCTCCCTTTCTTCTTAGAGTAGGAGACTTGGATAGAGAATTGTGGGCTTCTATCCCTGCGAAGAGACAGGCGCCCGATTTTCAGGCGCCTGTGGAGTTTGAGATGGCCCAGTTGTGGAGCATCCTCCCTCGAATGGCCAAGTTTTTGCTCTGTGGGTCCCTGCGAATTGAGGGGGTAGAGGGCTACGTGTTGTTCACACGTTTCGGGATGTCCCCACCCCGTACCTGGAAAGTCTTATCACTCAGCACGTGACGTCGATGGTGCAAAGCACAGCGAGCCACAGGATCACCTTCCTGATGCCGGGAGGCAACCTCTTCAAGGCGGGACTGGGATGAAAAAGCGTGCAAGATGGCACCTCCCAGCTCCCGGTGAAATTCCCTTTGAGGTGATCCGGCCGTCTCGGTTCACAGACTTCCCAGAAGACCTTGAAGGCGAACATGGCGTACGGCAGCTGATGGAGGGCGAGATCCTCGAGGCGAGTCACCGAGTCCACAGCCTGAGGCTCGGAGGCTCGGGCGATCTCGGCGCTCGCAGGTGCTTGCTTGGCAGCGCGTGAAGGAGGGCACGCCAGCTGCAGCCGAAAGCTCAGATAAGCCGGGCCACGACGGAGAAAGACAGATGCTGTACTGGATCCCCATGCCGGTCACTTTGGCTGAGCGCCTGGGCCTGGTCAGAGTCCCCTGTGCGAGGTCACCCGACTGAAAGCAAAGCTGCAGGGTGCGAATGCAACTGGCTTCTTGGCTCTTGGCCTGCCTCGTTTCAGCTGCCTCGAAAATTGAGCAGTCGTTCTAGGGGGTTTGGGGTTCTGCCTTCCATTCCATCTCCATCCATCTCCAACGCTCTCCCGTCCTTGTTTCGGCTGCTGGGTTGGCTCCTTCTCTGTGCATGCGAGGATGGGTGTCGATGTCGGACAGCGGCATTCCGAACCTCGAGGCGCCGTGGAATCCTAGGGTTCGGGGATGTTTTTCTTTTGGCGACGCCGCGCTTGGGCCCTGCAGGTTCTTTGAAAACTTGGCTTCGCCATCTCACGAGTGCCGCTGGTGAAAGCTGCTGAGAGAAGCATCCAGTCTTCGCAGCTACTTGGTCCACAGTTTTCAGGTACCAACGCAAAGTGAGTGCTCTTGCTGCATGCAGCGAGGCTACGCTGGCAGCCAGGGCACTGTCTGGAGTGCACCGCCGGGCGGTTTTGGCATCATTTGCACCTGAGCGCACTGTCCAGATGGCCATCCGTAGCATTAGTATTGCAAGGAGTCCCATTCTCAACACCACTAAGCCGAACCATCAAGTACTGCTAAGACTAAGATTCTCACACGAATTCAAGTATTTCTGTCAGAGTCAAGGAGACGGAGTTCTTGCTTCTTGCCGCTGTCAGATACGAAGGGAGACCTGGAGAAGATCAGAAGCCAATGCCAGTGATGGTTTTGATTCCCAGTATCACTTCTCCACATCTTCCTTCCCTCATCTAGCGAAGCAATGCGAAGCAGTTGTACAGTCTGGAAGTCCAGTGGACACGTGCCAAGAGCACACTGCCGAGATCTCCTTGTTTCAGGGGGTGCATGATATCAAGTAGTGAAGAGGCCCAGTTTCGTTTGGTTCGTGTTCTGAAATTCCAAGAACTGTCAGGGCATCTTGCCGTCAGTTGGTTAACGTGCACCCTTCTGCCCTTCTGGAGTTTGTCTCTCAGCATCTTCGGGATGAAGCTTGGACGAGAGGAGGAGCGGGATGGGGATCGGCAGCAGGGTTAGGTGATATCTCCGATTCCAGGGTGTTGGGTTGAAGGATCTAGGACATTCGTGCTACTCCCAGCCGTCCCATGTGTGAAGCTTTGGGGCAGGAGGGTAGGACTAGCATTGTTTTCGCTTTGGGTATTGTGACCTCGAACAGGTGTGTAACTGTGTAAGTGTTAGAGGGGCTTGGCTTGGCTTCGTCTCCGGTCGTTGTTCTGTTCATCACTTCCACGGAGACCTTCGCGCGGAGAACGACTTCTTCACTTCGTGCTGCCGGGGCGGCCCTTGGCTAAGACAACGCACGGCCTGACTTGAGCTGGGAGTCCTGGGAGTTACATGTTTCGTGTTTGTTTGATGTAAGATGGCAGAAGGCACAGCTCGGTAAGGCATCGCCTGGGCTCTCCTCCTCAAATTTGTTTCTTGTGGCGGTGCGGGAAGCCAAACTTTATCACAGTCTCTTGGCTGAGCCTTTTCTAAAGTTCCTCGCCCACGCCCATAATCGACAAAGTCCTCGGCGAGAGGGTGTCGTTTTCCCGGTTGAGCTGCATTCCCTGCTTGTGTCATTGCTTTTTTTGATGCCTGGCCTAGTGGCCTCGTGGTTTCGGTTGGGGAAAGTGACGGCAAGTGGCTCCTCCAGAGTTGCACATATAAACTGGACCATCCTGCTGACGGGAAGCCCAGCGTGAGTTACCGACCAGCCGACCGACGATGCCCCTTGGTGTCTTAATGTCTCTTCGTTCCTGCACGTCTTTGAAGACATCAAGCTTGCGACTTGGGATGCAGAGCCGGTGTTGAGCAATCGAATACGTTTTTGTCATTTTTTAAGGCTCAGTCGGTTCGCCAAAGTCCTTACACAATCTTCAATGTCCCAGACACTTGACCAGGTAGCTCTGATAAGTTCGGGAGAAACTTGGAGCACTCGGTGCCGACATGTGCACGTTGCCGAGATGTCATGGACGATCTGGGCACGACCTTCTCAATCCAAGTCCAGCCTCCTGTAAGATCTTTAGGCCCAATTCACCTCCATAGACTCTCTCTTAGAGACCCGCAATGAGGTAGTGGCAAAAAAACCAAGACTGGTCCCCCTCTTTGGGAAGTCCCTGGAGGAGACCCCTAACACGCAGCGTGACAAGCGCTCGGCCGCTCCGAGGCGCCGGCCGCGGAGGTTTTCCGTCCCTTTTTGAGTCCGCGTCCTTTCGTCCTCTGCTGTGCAAGGCCCAAAAAAGACGTCTCTCCTCTGATGGGTGCTGTGCTCACTGAGCAGTCTCGGCCGCCCCCGTAGAAGCTAGGAATAGACAGAAACTGGAGCCGATGCCGAGGCTGCACAATGTACTGCCTTAGACAGTTGCTAGTGCAGAGTCTCGGGGCAGTGGAGGTCCTGATTGGGGAGTCCCGATTATGTAGCCGCGTAGGGAGCACCATGCCAGCAAGTCACTCGATGACAAAGGTGCTGACCGGACATTGGGGAGGGGGGGGTTCAAGTTGCAGTCAATTTTCAAGCGGATCTGCAAGGCTCACGCTGCTACACACTGGTACTGGTAACCCGATATCTATATTGCTGAGGCCGCACTCCTCACTCCACTGCTGGAGCAGCTCAGTCCAAAAGTTTATGTGGCGTCGGGGGCCTCAGTCTGCAGCGTGCATGTCCGAATCGCTTCAGGTAGTAGCGGTAGCGATTTCGTTGGAACCATGTGGCTGGCAAGTGACGAAAGACCTCCGGAGGGAGCGATTTGCCTTTCTCACCTAGGTTCTGGCGTCAGCTGTCTTTTACATCTGCCGAAATCTACCAGGACAGATCTCGCGGTAGCTGCAGGCCTTGTAGGCCTCTTTTCTTCGGAAAGGAGCTCTTCGAATTGAAAGGCAAGGGCAAGATGCTGGTTCCTTAGGGTCCTTAGGCCTCAGACATCTTAGGTCCTGCCTGGCCCTTGAGAGAGAATTACCGACATCCAGGCCCGGGAGCCGGTCTCTCAACTCCTTGGATGATGACGACGAGGCCGAAACGCGGAAAGCCAGTGCAAACATATCCGCATTCAGGGATGACGTGCTAGGTAAGAACTACAGCTACTGGAGTTCGCAATGATGTCATTCTGCCCGCATATGGCGCATGGCTGGCAAACGCCGTGCGTGGATCAACATGCACAGCCGGAAAGCGCTTGTCTAGCATGGAGGCCGAGTTCTTAGCAGTGGCATCCAGGGGCAATCTCAAGCGTCTCGTATAATGGTGTAGGCTCGGTAAGTTCGTAGCGCCACACTGGAATCGAAGCAATCAATCTGAAAGTGCCTCAGGACGATGCGGCAGTGGATGTAAAGAAGGCAGCGAGGCCTGAAACAGTTGAAAGCAGGGAGTCAGAGCTGTCTGCATTGAACAGCGCGGCCTATAGTTTGCAGGTATCGTTTTTTAACATGATAGTTCGGTACATGTCCAGGTGCAATGAGCTGGCGCGCAAGGCCATCAAACACTATGGGATCTTCCTGGAGAGCTACCAGCCAGTGCCGGGCTGTGTTTGCCGGTGACACTGGGCGTTTGCATCTCTGGCAACGGGGCTTACTGAGGATGGCACAACTGCAGAGAAAGTCGAGAAAGACCACGCCAGCACGTCCCGTCCTGAATTGTGAGGAAGCGAGATGGCCAGGTTTCTATGCCAATGCAGCACCAGGTACTTGATCGGGAAGCTGAATCGTGCGCGTCTTCGCACGAAGATGAGAGGTGACTTACATTCATCGCATAGACGCACAGAGGGCCAACACCACTTACGACCACAGCGGCTACTGTAGCTGAGTGAAGGACTTCCTGCGGATGACAACATCGAGGAGTGCGACGCTAAGCATCTCCTGTGCACCTGACCTGGGGAAATGAGTATGTTGTGGCCGTTGTGGCAGTTTCCAAAGACCCTGCACTTTCTGGGTACTTGAGGCACAAGATGGCATTAAAAGAATACGAAGAGATCCTCCAATACGGCGACCGAAATCCGGAGGCATGCCAGTCTCCTGTCGGTGTCGAGGGCTTTCCGAGGAAAGGATGGTACCTAAGCCTGAGCCTCGGGTCAGAAAGCATGGGCTCAAGGGATTTTAATCGAGCGCTCGGTAGTGCAGGGAGGTTTGCTCATTGGGGAAGCCCCTACGTGGCCGATGTACTGGGCCAGGTGGTTGATGCCGATGTGAACATGTCCATGGAGCTGAAGCTCTGTGCCGAGATGGTCCGCTCCTCATTTCTCGTCGGTATCGGTGACGACGCCAATTATTTCTCGGCCCAGGTCGGCCTGCTCCCAACTAAGCTTGCGCGCCTGGCAAAGCGCCGGAGCCGATGAGTTGGAAAAAAGCAGCGCTGGCTTACGCTCCTTTGCTTGGGGCTCGACGCTTGCATTGAGTGATGGAAGCTCCAAGGGAAACCCATCCTGTGGTCCCTTGACCCAAGTGGAAGTGCGAACGCCCAGGCACCTCTGCCGGTATAAACTAAAGCACAGACATTTTGGGATCCAAAGCCTGGCTCGAAAAAAGGCCAACAGCGAGACGATACTGTCAGGAGTTGTCGTTTGGAATTGACTCAGGTAGTAGGTAACTAGGGCGAAATCGTGTCCAGGACCTTATTTGGTCCTTTCACAATTGTGAACGGGCGGGGGTACCCGCCGCGCCAGCACAGAGTGGCATCAGCATTGTACAATGTCAGGAGGTGAGCCCCTCTCGTTTGGTTCCCTTGCCTCCCCGCCTGAAGGTCTATCTGTTTACGCGACATGGCAGCCGACATATTGTCTTTATGCGGCCGAATGCGTCTACGTAGCAGGTTTCAAGTTCGCTGCCTCAGTAATCTCCTAGATGGCCGAGTTATTGCTCATGCAGGGACATTCCGGAAGTCCATCAGGTCTGTCAAGATACTATGTCTATGTGCTACAAGGGTGTCTCTGTACGTGCTTATAAAGCAGAAGCGTGCCATCATCTTGCAGGATGAAGCTTCATGGCAATACATACGTGCTTGCTTCCAACGACCGAGCTCTATCGACTCTGCTTCCTTTTGTCCCCCTTGCTTTCGTGGCCTTTTCACAAGGATCTGTACGGCGAGGCATCGAGAATCAGTAAGACACCATCAACCACATTCTCAAGGACGACGCAGACACGTCCGACAAGGTGAGCGAGGGCTGACAAGACAGGGACCCAGTGGCCTGACACAATCTCGCGCTCTGCATGCCAACACGATGCCCTGCGCGGGCCCTTTACAGCATTCGACCACGAAAGGATTGGTGCAAGTGCAACCTGCAGGGGTACGTTGCAGCGCCGCCCAGGCA